GAGCCACCCGTTGCGCTCTGGACTGTCCCCAAGCCCGCATCCCTCCCTGGCCCCAGGCTGACCGCACACGGGGCTGTGTCGGGCTCTGCCTCGTCTCCGTGTCACCGAGCAGGGTGTTGTCCCCGGGCTGAGCAGGGACCTCTTGCTGCGGAGAGAGCACAGAGAAAGAGTCGCTTCCCCAGAAAAGACATCCCTGGGGCTGGAGGGAGGGGTGTCCTTGCGGGCTGGGGTCATGCAGGGCTGACTCTGCCACTTCCTTTATTTTTTTAATATTGTGTTCCTCCTTCTATTGCCATAAGTAGACTGAGCTTGTTTATGGCAAAGTCTTGTTTTGTCAGTGGCCAGTGCCTCAGTTTCCCCATCTGTAAAATGAGGATGAGACTAGACAGGGACGCCATTCTCTCGGGCTAATCTGAGGACTCAAAGGATTCGTGTGGGCAAAGTGTCCTGTGACATGCCTTGTGCTCAATCCGCATCCACTGTTACCTTTGTTGTTATAATATTATGAGTCATGAAGCTCCAACAGCTCAGATCTTGGGGCAGAGGGCAGAGGATCTCAGTGTGAGGAGGGACCCTCAGGATTCCCCAGTGGTGAGGTTTCCTCTCTGGGGAGGCTTTCCTTGCTTGCCTCCAGGGACCGGGAACTCCCTCCCTCCCAAGAGAGCTGTGATGAGGCAGATCTAGTTATTAGGAAATTTTAATCCATTGAGCAGATCTCTTGCTCCCCAAGGATCCTGTGCCACACGGTCCCTGATAATGCCCTTGGGTCTGGAGAGTTGAGTGCTGGTTAGTATTAAAAACCAATGGACTTCATGAACATCGCCGAAAGTCTGTGCCGATTGGGACTGTGTAAATTTGCTAGGGTTGCTGTAACAACGCGCCACAAAGTGGTTGTCTTAGACAACAGAAATTTATCCTCTCACAGTTCTGGAGGCCAGAAGTTGGAGACGAAGGTGTGGGCAGGGCTGGTTCCTTCTAAGGCCACGAAGGGGAATCTGTCCCGGGCCTCTCCCGGCTCCTGGTGGTGGCCGCATCCTTGGTGTTCCTTGGCGTGTAGATGCATCACCCCGATCTCTGCCTCCTCCATCACGTGGCGTTCTCCCTGCGTGTGTCTTGGTGTCTGGATCAGGGCCCATCCTGATGACCTCATCTCAACTAACTCCATCTGCAACGACCCTGTCCCCAGATGAGGTCCAACTCTGAGGTCCTGGAGATTAGGACAGCAACCTGTGATGTGGGGTGGGGCACATTCAACCCATGACAGGCTCTATGAATCGAGCCTCTAATTGTCCAAAAGTGGGGAAACATCACACGTTTTCACCAGCTAGTAAAGACGAGCTAAGAGCCCGAGAAGAGATTGGACCGGGAGACCAGGGAAGCCATGAGAGAGCATTTCAGCACCGGGGACAGCGGCTCGCGGGTTTTTGTGTGCCTGCGTGTGTTGTCTGGGGCTGCCAGCCTTAAAGGCTGCTGAGAGGACCCATCCTTATCCTCCCTGGGCCACCACCCTTCGAGTTCTGCAGACTCCACAGGCAAAAAAAAAAAAAAAAAGGATCTTAGGAAGGACACTTTTAAATTATTTTTTTAAGACAGGGTCTTGCTCTGTCACCCAGGCTGGAGTGCAGTGGCGTCAGCCTAGCTCACTGCAGCCTCCAACTCCTGGGCTCAAGCAATCCTCCTGCCTCGGCCTCCCAAAGTGCTGGGACTACAGGTGCCACCACACCTGGCTAATTTTTCTATTTTTTTGTAGACACAGGGTCTTACTCTTGCTCAGGCTGGAGGGACATTTTTTTGCCATTATTTTACAACCGGCTGAAGCCCAATTTCTTGCTGATAATGCCTGATTTCTCTCAGGCCTTAATGCTAGTTGTTTTAGTGTGATTATTATTTTTTTTGGAAGATCTTGGGGAATAAAATTCCAAAAATAGAAACATCAAGAGGAGAATAGACAGACAAACCATGGAATAGTAGAAGGTGTTTGAGTCACAAATAACAACAACCAAAGATTAGGACACAGACTTTATATAAAGAGTGCCCTACAAGCGACGAGGTGCCCAACTTCATTAATAACTATAGGAATGTACATGAAAACCTCAGTGACATACAACGACACACCCATTAAATGACTAACATTTAAAAGGTTTGCAAAGCCAAGGGTTAGTGAAGACGCAGCACTAATAAAACTAGACATCGGTACAACCCACTTTGGAAAACTATTTGAAAGAATCGATAAAAGTTAAGTCTATGCCCACCTTATAACCAGCAATTCCATTCCTGGGTGTGCCTTTGTGCATTAAAATATATAGACAAGAATGTTCCATAGCAAGAATGTTCCATAGCGGTCTATTCATAATAGCCACAAACAGCAAACAACCCAAATGCCAGGAGAGTAGATAAACAATTGGTAGTATATCCATAGGATAAAATACTGCACAGCAACAAGAAGGAATTAACCCCTGCTACACACAACCACATGTTGTTGCGTGTATATGGAGTGAAAGAAGTCAGACACGAAGGTGTACATAGGCTACGATTCCATTTATGCCGGTTTGAAACCAGAAAGCACTCAATGACGTTGATCAATGATGCACGCAGGGCACGAAGCCACAGTGAAATCTCGTCACAAGAGCCAGGGTACAGGTTGTAATGGGGTGGGGGCACCCAGGCTCCTGGTGGCTTCTCGGTGGCTACCACATTCTATTTCTTGATCTGGGAGATGCTTATAAGGGTGTAATTATTTGTTACATTGTACACTTACGTGTTTGCACTTTTCAGAGGGGTGTGATTGTAATATATCTCAATTACAATTTTTATTGTGTTAAAATATATGTAACATAAAATGTAAAATCTTAACCATTTTTATGTGCTCAGCTCAGTGGCGTTAATCACACTCACGTTGCTGTGCAACCATCACCGCCCTCCATCCCCAGAACCTTCTCGTCTTCCCAAACTGACACTCTGTCCCCATGAAACACTCCCCACCCCCTCCCCAGCCCCTGGCACCCACCACTTTACTTCCTGTCTCTGTGGACCTGACGCCTCTAGGGACCTCCTGTGAGTGGAGTCACACAGGATTTGTGTTTTTCACTGATTTCACCGAGAATAACGTTCTCAAGCCTCATCCACGTTGGAGCAGGCGTCAGAATTCCCTTCCGTTTTCAGGCTGGATAACATCCCACTGTGTGGATGGACCGCGTTGTGTTTGTCACCCACCCGTGGACACTTGGGTGGCTTCTACCTTTTGGCTATTGTGAACAGTGCTGCTCTCAACGCTGTTAGACAACTATCTGTTTTCCTCTCTGCTTTCGGTTCTTTCGAACGTGTACCCGAAGTGCAATTGCTGGGTCATGTGCTAATTCTGTGTTTAGTTTTTGAGGAACTGTCAAATTGTTTCCCACGGCAGCCATACCATTTTCCATTCCCGCCACAAATGTTTTTAAAAATGCTGCAAATCTTGGTGATTCTAGCAGGGACACTTAAAAATAAAATACAATAAAATGGTAGAAACTCGTTTAAGGTCTGCCTGGTCCCCTCCCCCCAGCCCCCCAAGGGTTCGAGGGGACTTGCAGACCCGGGATGGGGACCCTTCCCCACCGCTCGGCCCAGCTGGTGGGAGCCGGCAGCTGGGCGCTGGCAGCTCAGCAGGAGGCCGCTTTAATTAGCTCCTGCTCAGGGGATCCCTGGGTGGGGGGCAGACAGAGAGATAGGGAACCAGAGGGTCCCAGGGCAGAGCAGCCAACAATGGTCTCATTTCACAGGCAGCAAAACAGGTGCACAGAGGTCAGAGGGCGAAGCCCTGCGCTGGGCTCCCGACTCCTCTGTCCATCCCAGAAAACCTGACTCCCTGCCTGCAACCACCTCCTCCCCAGCCAAGGATGTTGTCCAATCACAGCCTCGCTCTGGACCACTCTAGGGCCAGCCCCGCCCCTCACCTCTCCTCATTGGGCCTGCCCCCTGCGGCCGCACCACACCCCCTCAGACCCCGCCCCTCACCTCTCCTCATTGGCCCTGCCCCTGCGACCGCGCCACACCCCCTCAAGTCCCGCCCCCGCCCCATGGTGGGTCCATCCTGTAGCTCTTGTGCGTGGACCATCCTCTCTGATGGGGAAACTGAGGCCCAGAGAGAGGCGGCGCCTGATTCAAGGCTACAGTGCAGGTCAGGGTCAGAGTCTGCTACACCCTAGTCCAGTGCTGGGGTCTCCCGTCTCCTTGGGACTACTGGTGCCCCTGCCCCGTGACCCCCCTGGGGAGGAGCTCCGCCCACGTCCCCGACCCCCTGACCCCACGACCCCTCCTCGCCCAGTGCGCTCAGAATCTCAGAGCATCAGCCACTGACGTCATCAACAGCCCGGCCTCCTCTGTCCCCGTCCCTGTCTCACCCTTTGGGGAGCGTAGGTGTGTGCGGTGGGGGATGGAGGTTGCTGAGCCACTGTCACTGTTCCCACCCCCAAAACAGGTGGCTCCCGCGTCCTCTTCCCTTTTTATTTTTCAAAATTATAATGCACACAACATAAAATTGACCATTTGAACCATTTTTAAGTGCGCCACTCAGTGGCATTAAGCACATGTACAGTGTTGTGCAGCCATCAGCACCCTCCATCTCCAGAACATTCTCATCTTCCCAAACTGAAGCTCTGTCCCCATGAAACACACCCCACCCCCTCCCCAGCCCCTGGCACCCACCGTCCTACTTCCTGTCTCTGTGGATCTGACGCCTCTAGGGACCTTCTGTGGGTGGAGTCACGCAGGATTTGTCCTTCTGTGTCTGGCGTCTCTCACTGAGCACGATGTCCTCAAGGTCATCCACGCTGTGGCCTGTGTCACAGCCTCGTCCCTTTTCATGGCTGCGTGATATTCCAGTGTGTGGACAGAGCACGTTGTGTTTATCCATCGATGGGCACTCGGTTGGTTCCACCTTTGGGCCGTCATGAATCGCTCCGTCGTGAACACGAGTGTGCAGTGTGCTCGTTTCTTAACACCCCCGTTTCTCTCCCCTCCAGGCTGTGCCTTCCTCACCTACTGTGCCAGGGATTCCGCCATCAAAGCTCAGACTGCCCTTCACGAGCAGAAGACCTTGCCCGGGGTGAGTCCTGCCTGGTGTCCGGAGAGGAGGAGATGGAGGGGCTGCTCTTGGCCTGGGATGGGGGCCGAGGCCCTTCCTGGGATCAGCTGTGAATTCTGCATGCAGAGGGATAGAAACCTTCATCAGAGTGAGCGTTTATGGAGTGCCGACTGTGTGTATAGTTCACAGCAGAGTAGTGTGTGGTTGTGCAGATTGTATACTGCACAAAGGCGCCTAGTTCAGAGTGTGAGTGTCATTGGGCTGAGACCTGGAGGATGAGGAGGCATTAGCAGGCAAAGAGAACAGCCCAAGCAAAGGCCCTGGGGCAGGACTGTGCCTGGGGTGTTGGAGGCACAGCAAGGAAGCCAGAGTGGCTGGAGCAGAGTGAGGAGGGGGAAAGAGGGAGGAGGGGAGAGCAGGGAGGGGATGGGGCAGGGCCTTGTGGGATAGTGATCAGTTCTTTGTGCTGTTGGCAAATTCCTCTAAGCGTAGTAGACCATATTTTTGCATGGCTGGAAGCTTGTACCCTTCTATCCAGAAAAATCCGTATGTACCTGGAGATTTACCAACACTTCTAGGAGTCCCTCCCAGCTAAGTGCCTCTCCCCCATTCCCTCGTCCCATTTTCCCGATGGGGTCACTGAGACCCAAAGCCAGTTTCCCTTCCACTGCCTGAGGCCTTGGGGGTCTGGGAACCAGTTCCCTCCACGGTGGGTGCAGAGCTGGGTTCTGGGCTCCATCGGAGCCAGAAGGGAAGATGGAAGAGGGTGGAAGAACTGAGGGCTGCGAAGCCTCCCTCCCCACACACCAGTCCTTCTTGCCAGGCTGGTCTCCCAGGTCTGAGGCCACCTTGGATGAGAAGATGTCATATTCGCCAGCAGCTGCTTCTCTGTGTCGGTCTTGAGGGTCCTCTGCCCTTCTTTCCTTGTCTACTCTCCCTGGGTCAGCCCATAAATCCAATGCTTCCCTCTGTCCATCCATCCATCCTTCCATCCATCACCCACCTGCCCACCTACCTACCTGCCCATCACCCATCTTCCTGTCTATACACCCACCCACCCAACCATCCATCTACCTAACCATCCATCCATCCACTCACACATCCACCTGTCCATCCATCCATCCATCACTCACTTATCCACCCACCCATCCTTCCATCCATCCACACATGTGTCCATCCATCCATATGTCTATTTATCAATCCGTCCATGTATCCATCCATCTATCCTCCCAGCTGCCCATTCATCTACCCATCCACCCACCCTCCATCCATCCGTCCACCCACCCGCCCTCCACCCATCCATCCACCATCCGTCCATCCATCCATATGTCTATTTATCGATCTGTCCATGTATCCATCCATCTATCCTTCCATCTGCCCATTCATCTACCCATCCACCCACCCTCCATCCATCCATCTCCCTCGGACCTTCTGCCAGCACCTGAAAATCCAACAGATAGATGGAACTTTATGGGCACCTACTGTTTCCCTGGCACTGTGCTAAACTTCCCTCACCAGCTCTGTGTCTGGTCACCTCCTGAGTGACCCTGCAGCTGTCCCCTCAGGTCCCCCAGACCCGACAGGGCTCAGACCAACCATGGCATCCCCTTTGAACTAGTTTCTCCTCCTCAGTTCCTGGGCATCAGACTCTCCTGCCCCCTCCCCTTCACCCCTATAGCCCGTGGTCCCCACGTCCTTCTCCCCAGAGCCTCTCCCCGCCGCTGTGACCCCTGAGCTCACGTCTCAGCTCCACCCCTCCAAGCTGCACGACCTCGGCCCAGTGCCTTTCCCTCCAGTCTGTGTCCCTCATCTCCAAAATGGGCGTCTCCTTCTCCATCTGACGGGGCTGGAAAGAAAGAATTCAAGACGTGAGAGTGCAAAGCAGATGCTATTTTTGGAGATGTTAAATCATTATGTTTTGGTCTCTGGCCATCCCTAGTTCCTAGAAATCTCTCACTCTCCAGACACCGAGAACCCAGCCAGGACACCAACCTCTAAGGTCGTGCGCAAGGACTCATGGGAAACTGCCTTTCCTACCCCAGGGATTCCTACCCTGCCTCCAAGGCCACACCCTGATGTCCCACTTTCTGCCCACCCATGATCCCTCGGGACTGGGGGTGTCTGTGTCTGGCTCTGGGCTCCCCCAGATTGGGATCCCCTTGAGGACAGACCTTGTACTTGGTCCTCTGCACCTATTAGTTCCTCCAACATTTATTGAGCACCTGATTTAGGCAGGAAGGGGACACAGTACAAACAAAAAAATAAACAAGTGAACAGATGAGAATTTCCAATGGTGAGGATGATGCTGAGAGAAGATAATAGGGGTGATTTTGATTTCCAGAGCAATGACTCGGGATGGGAGTGGCCAGGGAAGGCCTCTCTGAGGAGGTGACTGAAGCAGGGAGGGAGGGAGTCCTGTGCTACCTGTGGAAAGTGCCTTCCTGGCAGAGGGAACAGCCTGTGCAAAGGCCCTGAGGCCGGACCGAATCACAAACTGAATGTCTTAAAGTGACAGAAAGGCATTCTCTCACAGTTCTGGAAGCCAGAAGTCCAACATGAAGGTGCCAACAGAGCCACACTCCCTGCTGATGTGGCGTGACATGGCCTTCCTCTCTGTGTCTATGTCTCTCAAGTTTCCCTCTGCTTCTCTCTCACGAGGACACCTGTCATTGGATCTAGGGCTCACTCCACAACTCAAGGTCCTTCACTTAATTACAGCCACAAAGACCCCTTTTCCAAATGAGGTCACAATCACAGGGTCCCAGGGTTAGAACTTGGACTCATCATTTTTGGCGGAGGCGGGTGGCAGGTGGCCATGATTCAGCTCATTCCAGGAGGCGACCACAGAATGAATGGCCAGATATAAGGGTGACCCGGGGACAGCATCGAGAGGGAGAAGCAGGTAGCCCACGTGGACGATTTAGCAGGGGGCAAACGGGATGGCTCCTTGGAGCAGGGGGCGTTGGGGCTTAGTCTTGAGAGACGGGAGCATTTCTGACAGATGCAGGCAGAGATGGGGTGTTGCGGGGACGGGTTGTACCAAGACGGGAGGCAGGAACACGCCCAGCATGCTGTCGAATGTGGGAGCGCACAGAGCCTCTGCTGACTAACGAAGCGTTTAGGTTAGGTTAGGAGTGGTTTTCAACGAGGGGCGATTCCACCCTCCACCAAGGGACACCGGGCAAAGTCTGGGGACATCTGTGGTTGTCACAGCTGGCGTGCTTCCGGCATGGGGTGGGTGGAGGCAGGGACACTGCTCAGCACCTGCAGTGCCCAGGACGGTCCCACCCCAGAGAATGATCCAGCCCCAGTGTCCACAGTGTGGGGGGCAAGAGACCCTGCCTAGGAGAATAAGCAGCGGGTGAATGTTCTAGAACAGCGTTATCTAATAGAAATACAATGAGAACTACATATATAATTTAAATGTTTCCAGGAGTAACATTTAAAAGGTAAAAAGAAACAGGCGAAATTAATCATGATAATATATTTCATTTAACCCGATATATCTGAAATCTTATTGTTTCAATGTGCAGTCAATATAAAAATCATTAATGAGACTTCTCACCTTCCTTTTGAACTATGTGTTCGAAATCTGGTGTGTATTGTTCTCTCGTAGATTTGGACACTGAGTGTTTATCCACGATGCTCGATCTGTATTTGCATTTGTAAAAATTCACAGTGGCAAAGGCAGAGCCATGGACCCGGGGTGTTCTAAACACACCTACAGGTTTTCCAAGAACAAAGTCAGGCATCCGGCCGGGAGCAGTGGCTCACGCCTGTACTCCCAGCACTCTGGGAGGCCAAGGCGGGAGGATTGCTTGAGCTCAGGAGTTCAAGACCAGTCTGAGCAAGAGCGGGATCCCGTCTCCACTAAAAATAGAAAAATTAGCTGGGCATGGTGGCGCATGCCTGCAGTCCCAGCGCTTTGGGAGTCCAAGGTGGGAGGATTGCTTGGGTTCAGGAGTTTGAATCCAGCCTGGACAACATAGCGAGACCTCATCTGTACAAAAAATTTTAAAAATTAGCGGGGCATGGTGGTGTGCACCTGTAGTCTGGCTACTCGGGAAGCTGGGGCAGGAGGATTGCTTGAGTCCAAGAGTTTGAATCCAACTTGGGTGACATAGTGTCTCTTAAAAAAAAACCTAAATAAATAAATTTATATTTATATTAATTATAATGAAGCAAAATTTAAAATTCTGGTCTTTGATTGCACAAACCACATTTCAAGTGCTTGGTAGCCACCTGTGGCTAATGGCTTCTGTATTGGACAGTATTGTTCCAAAATGTTCTAGACCTAGGGTCAGTAAACTTTTTCCATAAATGGTCAGAGGGTAAATATTTTTTGGCTTTGTGGGCCATATGACCTCTGTGGCAGCTACTGAAAGTATAAAAGCAGCCATAGGCCGGGCACAGTGGCTCACGCCTGTAATCCTAGCACTCTGGGAGGCCGAGGCGGGTGGATCGCTCAAGGTCAGGAGTTCGAGACCAGCCTGAGCAAGAGCGAGACCCCGTCTCTACTAAAAAATAGAAAGAAATGATCTGGGCAACTAAAATATATTTACATAGAAAAAAAAATTAGCCAGGCATGGTGGCGCATGCCTGTAGTCCCAGCTACTCGGGAGGCTGAGGCAGAAGGATTGTTTGAGCCCAGCAGTTTGAGGTTGCTGTGAGCTAGGCTGACGCCACGGCACTCTAGCCCAGGCAACAGAGTGAGACTCTGTCTCAAAAAATAAAATAAAATAAAATAAAATAAAAGCAGCCATTGACAACACGTAAATGAATGGGCGTGGATGTGTGCCAATAAAACTTTATTAACAAAACCAGGAAGTGGGCCAGAACGGGGTCGTGGGCGGTGGTTTGCTGAGCCCTGTTTAGACTGGCACTGTCAATACAACGTTCTGCGATGGTGGAAATGTTCTCTGTGCTATATGCTATGGGGGCCACTCTCGCCGTGTGGCTGTTGAACCTTTGAGTTGGGACAAGTGTGACTTAGGAACTGAATATTTAATGTTACTTAATTT